TAAGAAGTCAAAAAAGAAAAAAAAAAGGGGAGGAAGTTTGGATACCTTGAATACTCTTCTTTTAGAAGAAAAAAAAAACCAAACTTGAGAAGATTGTCCCTAAACGTTTTTGTTTCAGAGCTTGGTAGTGGGAAAAAAACCTGAAACAAGCCTTTTCCATTAGAGCATATTTTGAATGCAAAACGATGGTTTGCACCTCTTAATGACAAGAGTTGTTGCCCAGCAGTGTTCTTATAATGGTTATTGTAGTATGTGTGTGACAGATGTACACAATGGGAGGTAGTTGTGTGTCTGGCCGCAGATGCATTCAAACACACACACTAACACATGCACACAAATCAGTACTATAAACAAAACGTCCAGAGCTGGAGAAAAATCGTATGCTGCTCAACATGCAGATGGCTGCTGTCAGTCGTTCACTTTTATGCGAGACCTAAAAATTCACGAGGTTCACAATGAAAGAAGGTAAATGAATAAAGATGATGAGACTGCTGCTAGTAAAAGAATGCACATAGGCTGATATCAAGAGGGTTTTTCTGAGCTGGCTAAAGCTGTGTTGAGGATGAGGTCTCACAGGAAAAATCTTTGATGTCTGTGCTCATGAATGGTGCAAGGTGGGCTTTGGCTATGTCTACATTAGAAAACAGTGTGGCCCAATAGAAGCAGATCTGTAGAACACATGATGTAGGTGCTGAGGGTGTAGGGTCCACACTATATGTGTTCTCGGGGCTACTGTAGACTCATTCTAGTCTGGTTCCATTAGAGTCTAAAGTGTATTATATGTTCTACTGGATTACAGCATCTGCATTAGTTTCATCTGAAGAAAATCCATTTGATGCACTCCAAGAGTTCCATGATATGAACTGAAGCACATTAAGTGAAGGATGTCTGGGAGATTTGCTTAGCTGTAAGTTGAGAAATTTCAATTCCAATTTAAGGAAGAAGAAAAGATAATAAGCCAGAAGTATCTCAGCTAGGTTTAGATGCACATCAACTCATTGACACACAGAGCAGGTGCTCAAATATACTTCAAGATGACAGAGTGTCGTGGTTTAACCTCAGTCAGCAACTAAGCACCACGCAGCCGCTCGCTCACTCCCTCCCACCCGGTGGGATGGGGGAGAGAATTGGAAAAACGCAAGTGAGAAAAACTCGTGGGTTGAGATAAAAACAGTTTAATAATTGAAATAAAATAATAATAATAATAATATGATAATAATAATAATACACAAAGCAAGTGATGCACAGTACAATTGCTCACCACCCGCCGACCGATGCCCAGCCAGTCCCCGAGCAGCGGCCCCCCCCGGCCAGCTTTCCCCAGGTTATGTACTGAGCATGACGTCACATGGTATGGAATGTCCCTTTGGCCAGTTTGGCTGTGCCCCCTCCCAGCTTCTTGTGCACCTCCAGCCTTCTCAGTTGGTAGATCATGGAAAACTAAAAAGTCCTTGGCCAGTGTAAGCATTACCTAGCAACAACTAAAACATCGGTGCGTTATCAACTTTGTTCTCATCCTAAATCCAAAACACAGCACTGTACCAGCTACTAGAAAGGAAATTAACTCTATCCCTGCCGAAACCAGGACACAGAGTATAAAGAGTTGATTCTTCCTTCTCTCATTCTGCTGTGAATTACTCAATTTGGAGGTGTTACTCCTTATTTCTGTCTTCATTAAGGAAAGAACTGGGACACAAGAGTATAAGAATTGAGAAAGTGAAACAGGACATGGAGAGAGAGAAGCTTGCTTAAAATAATTTGTAAATGATTTATTGGATGCAACCTCTACCCTCAGTGATTTCTGGTGTTATTACTTTTCTATAGTACAACCAGGGAGGACAGTAACTTGCTGTGGGCTAAAGGTAAATTATGATCTATTGCAAAGGAAAACTATACTAAAGGTGGGTGTGTGAGGCACATGCTCTCCCCTGATGGTGTTCAGTGTGTTTGATCCCACTGGATCAATCTGTTCCAAAGCCTGCTAGGAAAAAAGTGTCAAGAGTTAAAGCAAACTTCATGAAGAGAAGAAGGGAGAGTGAAATGGCAAGATGTTTCATTGCTGGGGCTTGTTGCACACAGACTTGGTAGTATGTCCACTGAAAAGGAGGGAATTTGGGAATCTGCAGTTACAACCTTGCTATTGCCTTCCAGTGGTGGCCTAAGGTTGCTGATGCAGGGGGCTCTTCGTCTTGCAGTCATGCTGACCCGTGTATTCACACTGCTTGCCAAACCTGTAACCCACCCCCATCCTCAGGGATGTTACGTCACATCAACAGAATGTGAAAGTTGAAAATACATTTTCAGGTCTAGCCAGATTAAGGCCTCACCAAGAATATGTTTCAGCAGTGTATCCTGAGATTCAAGTTTTATGGAAAAAAATCCCCACAGTTGCAACATTTAAAATAGTATGGGATGTTATTTCTGCTTTTGGATGGAAAAGGCTGAAGCAAATTCTTTTCATATGAAATGTTTAAGCTACTTAACGCAAGACTTCAAAAAATGGCCCCTCGTTTTGGATCCTCCATTGGAGACAGTTTCGAGATGACCTCATGTTGCTAGCTGAGCAAATTGTAGTCACTCTTAAAAGTTTTTGAAACTGGTGATATTTGTCTTTCCATGTATCATTGAAATACTACTAATAGAAGCATATGTTTTTGTGAATGCAGGTTACCTGGGGGCCTAGATTCACTGCATGTTGTTTTGGACACTTGACTGGGGAATCTGATAATTCAAAGTGCTTTTTGTGCTCAGAGAAGGATGATGGTCCCTGCAGAGAGTGCTTTTCTCCATTGGTTATAAAGGGTGCTCCTGAAGAGAGTGTTTCTCGCATAGGGAAGTCAGTTTGGGGGAATTAAACTGAACCTCAGCTCCCACTGCCTGTTGAGCAAACTTCTTTCCAACGTGTTTTTTCAGCTTTTTGGGACCAATAAAGACAAAAGCTATGAAATGAAGGTGTTATTTGGAAAGCACCACATTTCTGATCCAAGCAGATGTGCACAAATCCTCTTTTGTGGCATTAATCTCGTCTCTCCTACACAGCATCAAAAAGGAATGAATGACTCTGGGATGGTCCAAGTGAGGCAGTGTTTTCTAAGCATGCTGCTCCTGTTTTTTTTTAATGTTGATTGACTTGGGTTTTTTTTATTTTTTTATTTATTTTTTTTTCAGGCTGGATGCCCGAAGTAGCTTTCACATTCTTGAAATCATCAGCTCATGCTAACGACACGCGATTAGTGCTCCAGAAACCTGTTGACTGGCAACCCGGTGACGAAATCATGGTGGGAAGGACGGGCTTTGGAGATGCACAGCAGCAGGAAGAAATGGCTGTTATTGAGTTTGTGAACAACACTGAGCTGTACCTTAGATCACCACTCAGGTATTCTTTCAAGGGCCAAGGGGATTTCTATAGCAGAGAGCTAAACCAGGGGAAAATTTGGTCAAAGTGAGGATTTGCCATTTCCTTTGGGACATAACAACTATATAAATCCCTTTAACAAAGGTGGTCAGAGATATTTTGGTTCCTCACTCCCCCTAAAACTAGTGGACGTTCAATCCTGAACGTTTCTGACTATGTTTAGATTCTGCATCATAAACGCTGATGACCAGTACAGTCCAGTGGCCGCAGCATAGGGTTGACAAAGAATTTTCCTGCATAGTTAATTTCTTGAGAAAGTGCATTTTTTTTTCCACAAAAAGTCTCTGACTTCCATAAAAAAAGAGAAAAAAAAATCCTCTCTTCTTGACTGATTTACTTAGGCTGATCAACAACACACTCAAAGTGAATTGCTTCAGTTTGGAAACGCTGTTTCTGTGTTTTCAGTGAGCTGTAGTTTCAGTGCCTTACGCTCTCTTTGTCTTCTGTGCTTGGAGATCTTGGTCAAACTGTACTTCTTATCATCATAACCTGGAGCTCCAGTGCTGAAAAATGTTATCTGTTTGGGGGGCAACCCAACTCCAATACCCAGAAAGATTAATGGTATAATTTTCAGAAGTATCTGGGGCTTGAGGAAGGAAGTACTGGTGGTTTTCACCAAAATAAGTTTTGGGAAGATGAAGAAAGTCCAAAGGCTGAAATATTTTGGTGTAAACATGTAATCTAAGGAAAATTTATGAGCTTGAGAGATGAAAAGGTGAAAACAAACATCAGCCAAGGAAAAATATACCTAGCCCATATATGCAGACACATTGGATATCCCACTGTCCATGGTGAGATAGGACTGAAACCAGCTCTGAATTTGGGCAGTTGGAGTCATAAGCTTAGGGTAAACATCATTCTTGCCATCTGGCAGGTGCAGATA